CGCTCCGGCTGCGCGCCGCCGTCGGCGAGCACTGGTACCTGGCTGCGCACCTCCGTGTCTCCCTGCCGCCTCCTTCCAGGCTGCGCTCGGGCCCTGTTCCGCTGATCCCACGCCCTGGCTGAACCGGACAGGGGCCTGTCTTTGAGCATGGCCTGTGTCCCTCCTGCAGGGGAGTTGGCCCGCGGGCCTCCCCGACGCCTTCTGGGGGTCCCGCCCGCAGTACCTCGCTTGAAAGTGCGGTGTGCTGCACATCAGCGTCCCCTGGGAATTGTTGGAAAGGCGTAATCCCAGTCCTGCTGAATCTGTATCTGCTTTTCAACAAGATCTCCAGGGGGTCCCTACGAGTGCCCCTCTATGATTGAAAAGTAGTGCTTAGGGTCTTCCCTGCCCACTTCAGACCCACTGGGAGATCTTTCCTGAGCCACACCCAAACAAGCTTTCCTTAGTACTTCAGGAGCTCTCCCAGAACTGCCAGCTTTCACATCCATATGAGTAGAGTTATTGATTGAATGGTGCAAACAACCCACCTCTGAATCTAAGTTGATGTGTTCACCAAACACCAGAAATACTGCTTCACAGCAGCTGAGTAGCACTTTGGGAAGCCTAAACTATTGCAGTGGTGTGCAGCTAGATCGTTGTGCCCGCCTGTCTCAGGAGATAGTGTGTGAACCGAAGAAATACTACCTACTGTATCAAGTCTGTACTCCTTATAAGATGGAATACGCCTTTCAAAAATGGGTCCCTTCCTACCTTTCTAATCTTTACTGCAGCTGCTTGGATTATTCCCCCATTCTAGGACGCCCCCATTTTCCTCTCTGATGCTCTTAACCTATGCAAACTTGGGAGTCCACGGAAATCCTGCCAGCCTAGAGTTCTTGGTTTCTCTATACACTTACAGTGTAGCAGTCTTTGTGGCTTGTGGTCCTTACAGTGAACTGGTATTGTTACCTATTTTTAAATGTTTAGTCCTCATGGAACTAATTACCAACACCTTGTCACCTTAAAGACATAGATGAGCTGTGTTTCAAAGTGTGGTTCCCAGACCAGCAGCTCAGTGTTTCACAAGAACTTGTAGGAAATCCTGTCCTCCAGCCCCACCCCAGATCTGCAGGATTAGACCTTTTGGAGGTGGAACCTGGCGACCTGTAGTCTAACGAACCTTCCAGGTGATTCTGATGCATACCTAAATTTTAGAATTGCTGACCTGGACCACGATATCCCAGAGAAACCCAGTGGTAATGATTGATTTAATTATATGCAAGTTTTATTCTCTTTCAGATTAATAAATTCCCTCATTCATATAAAGCTAGGATGGATGGCTGGTCACAATTGCTTCTGAAATAATTCCCTTTGATTTTCATAATGCATTTGATGTGGTAGGATTTTATAACTTGGTTCAAATAGAAAGAAATAACCCAGATAAGGAAGAAAAACAAACTCCTACCCAAATCCAGCTACCTTGATTGCATGTTAGTTTGCTGTCTTCCGCTACCCTGTAGGAGGGAATCATTTGTGTCACATAATCTCAACACGTGCCAAAATGAGAACTGTTGACAGACACACGAGTGCACATGGCAATCGGAAGTGTGTGTATATTTTTCAATGTATTTTTCATTAGTTAACTTTTATCAGCTAAATCTGCTCCACAGAGAATTCTCTTGAGAAAGACAAAGAAGAAGAGGAGTGGCAGAAAAAACATTCTCAAAATCACAATCCTCGTTAGCAAGGGCAGTTAAGAAGTATAACCAAAGGCCTGCCTGCCCCTTACACTGAGGATCAAGTACTCTTGCTCTCTCAGTCATGCTAAGCGTTGATTGTTTGGATACAGACACTCGTGTACTGATGAGGAACTAAAGGAATATGGCACCAGAAAATCTTCCTGAAGAGCTTTTCTATTTACTTTACTGATGGAAAGAAGATATGTGTCATATACTATATTTTCTGCTACAATTCTAGTCAATCTCGTGGGCCTGTGATGAACTGAAATGTGATTATTCATCAAACTAATATTTATCTGAGATGAGAAGAGGGCACGTAGCATTGCTACCACTGCCAACTAAGGCAGTCAGGCATTTATGTAAATAAACTCAGCCAACTACTGTGTTCTGTGCCGAGACTAGGAAGGACTGGATTTTACGGCAATTTCCAAAAGTCAGTGCAGTCCAGAGTTTAATCAGCAGTGGCTAATAGCCTTTGGCAGCTTGGGGTGAATGATGTTCTCCACCTGCCCAGCTGGGTACCATGCCCTAAGCACCCATATTTGATGACATCCATGATTTCTTGGTTGCTTACAGTCATCTCCTCCATCTGCTTGAGTGGCAGAGTGCCCGTTCCACACTAGTCTAATAGTCTAAAAGTTGATCCTAAGAGCACGTGATAAAAGTTGTGAACATATGTATATATATTTATATATAAAGTTTCACGCATGCCCCACCTTCCCACATGAGTGGATCACAGTGAACTCATGGATTTTGGCCTAAGAACTTTGCCTAGGGTTTGAGTTTGGGATGTTGTTTTGCTTGAATCCAAGGCAATGCTCTTTCCAACCAAGAGCCAAGCTTTGGGACAAGGGTAATGATGCACTCTAAGCTGGAAAAGTGTGAGTGTGGGCAATAACATTGAAAAAGGCAGCTTGACAGCATTTGGAAAGACCTAAAGATACTAAATTGAGAGCTAGTAGTTGCTTGTTTTTCCTTCAGAAGCTTTTATTAAGTTAAATCAAGTTGATCTCAAGAGTCTTAAACTTAGTGAATGTCAGTAGGGAAATGTATTCTGGTAAATGTTCACATGAGTTTAGAATCCAAGACATTGAAAGAGTTAAAATGTTTGAAACTGAAAGGAGGTGAAAAAAATCAATGCAAACTAGAATAATTTAGAAAAAAAAAAAAGAAGCCACTTGTCAGGCTGGGAAGACAAACACAGGTAAAGGTGGCTGCAAAATTACCAGGAAATGTTGCTTCTTTCTGCAATGGTTGTACAGCAGTTATAGAATGCTTTAACAGACCTTCCCCGCTTTGGATGACTCGGGACCTCTTACCAGTGGTGCCTGAAACCCTTGCTATTCTCACTTATTACTGGTAACATGCAATCACCTATCTCCTCAATCATCTTCACCTTCTTGACCCACACAACCTGTTCATTCCCTTTTTTCCTAATTGCACATCAAAGCAACAACCAACCCCAACTGATTCCTGCTCCCTTAGACTCCCCTCAAATCCCTCAGTAGAAGCCCACCTTGCACATTTGACTGCCTCTTCACTCTTATGTAGTAGGAGTGACCCCGCCCCCTTCTCAAAGGCAGTAGACCTGATTTTGTCAGGCTTGTTTCTGGTAGGCAATCTTTGGCTGATGGGTTCTTAACAACTCATTGGGTGAAGGGAGTTGCCCATGGTCAGGACTCATAGTGAGAAAAGAGTGTCCCTGTGTCAATGGCACAGCAAAGGAGCTGACACGGCCAATAACAAGGCTCCACGGTTCACAGCAGAGCCTTCCCATGTGGGAGGAAGTGGTACTTAGAGCAAGTCAGCTCATCCCTCATTTTGTAGAGATATGTGGGTCAAAGTAAGCCGAAGGAGGAGAGTGCTTCTTAAAAAAATGTTATGAGCAAAGTTAACTTAGGTACAGCTTCACTGAAGTAAAAAGGATTAACGTAGAGAAGTGAGGCTGGGGCCCAGTTCAGGGAGAGAGTTCGTGCCCCGTGGTGTTCAAGGCTCTATGTTAGATACCCAGAACCGCAAAATTAAAATTAAAGAGAGAGTAGGGAGTACAGTGGGCCCAGAAGGATAATGAAAGTTCTCATGTTGGTAATATCAGATTAGCTACTGTATTGAAAATAAGGCAGGACTGGCAGCACGGCACAGCAATACACTGCTTGCCTACCACACACAAGGCCCTGGATTTGATCCCAACACCACAAAATAAATGAGCAAATACTAAAAATAGTCTGACTTTAATGGTGCCAACATTACTTCGTGAAGGACAGCAATAGAGTAAAATTTTTGCTGGGAAATTTCATTAGAAAGAAAATTTTTTTAAAAATGTCATAGGGATGAAGTGAGACTCTAGGACTAGTCCAGGGAAGCAAGCCCAAGATTGCTGCATGGTTTTGGAGTCCTCCACCAGCACGCACAACTGAGACTGTAAGTGTGAACTAGGTCACCAAGGAAAGGGTTGTGTAGTAAGAACACAGAGGAAAGAGCAGAAGCTCGAGAAGCAACTTAAATATGTGTGAGGATCAGAGAATGAAAGAAATGATTCGACTCCCAAATCCCAGGTATTCCTAAATCAATATTCTAGCCCTATTTTCAATTGAGCTTCAGACCCATAAATCCAAGGGGAAACCTTCCTATCAACAGATGTTTGTTATGAGTGTTCGTATAGGGACGAAGTCTTTGGAATCAGCCCTGGAAAATGAGAAGGTGCCATCGTTCTTATAAAAGGAAGACAAAGTTCCCTGCTTCGTTACTTCTAAAAGACA